AGTCTCTTTTATCGACTTCATTTTTTGTGCAATTGCGTGTAGTTTTGATTTCTTCAAAAAATAATACAATTTCTTCATAGTTTTTTAAAGTTTTTTTTTGTTTGCCCGCGTTTTGACTGTGTCAAATTCCTTTCTGATTTTGGAAATTTTATGCAGTGTTTTCGGTATACTTTCCATGAACTTCTTACATTATTAATGTCTTTATTAATTTAAAATAAAGAGTATTTAAAATAACTCAATATTTTTTTGGTAAAACTAATTTTTAAGTTTATCTGAGAATGATACGATTGCATTCATTTTTGAGATTGAGGTCGCCCAATACTTTTATTCGACTTATCCTGACCTGTCCAACTATGTAATTATTAAATGGACATGTCAAGAGAGAGAGAGAAAGAGTGCTTTTTAATTTTAAAATATAATTGAAGTAATTCAATGTATATTTCTATGACTCTCCAACTTAAAGATATTTGAGAATAAAATTTTGTATTTAAAAAGTTTAGTACAACTTGAAAAATGAATGGACATTGTGTAAGATATTTAAAACAAATCGATATGAAAATTATGTAATACAAAATTCTGGAATTCATGTCTCATTTTTAAGCATTATATTATAGTTTCTTATAATTTTAGGTATTTTATGACTTTATCGAATTTTTTTCTCCATTAGAGTATTGTTGAAATTTTCTTGGTGATGAGAAAAATAAAATCCTGGTGTAGTTTAAATGTAACATAAACTGTACGTTCAAACAATGAACACATCACGCAATTTAAATTGTCTTACAAAACATTTTTTTAATGTAAAATTATATTAAGAAAAATTATTGACACACTTACAACTGACATTAAAATTTTATTAAGTTATAAAAACATCCAATAATATATAATCAGAATTTTTATATTTGCAATGGTCTAAGCCCTAGGAATTCCCTTACGTATTATATATGTAATACTATTATATTATAACTTGTGTAAATATATTTATATAGACTCTACGACAACCTAGTGCTTAAGGTCATGGACTAGTGGCTGGTGTGTCATGAGTTCGAGCCTAATGCCAGTGAAAAACCACCGTGTAGAGGGGCTGGTGCACGTCGAATCTGTCGAGGCTCAAACGTCCATCCGTTGGTGTGGAAGTTAGGAGAGGGGTGGTGGTCCCAGCTGAGGTTTCATCCTTGTCACTTGACAATGCCTCAAAATTAGGAGATCCGTCACCAATAGCCCTTGTGCAGCTTTTGTAGTACGATCTTAACATAAGGGTTGCCCAAATGAAAAATGGGAACGTGCAATTGCGTCAGAATGTTAGCAGCTATAGCAGTGCCACCGAACGTGGATGTAAAGAGGTGGGGGTAGAAGGTGTACACCTCATACGATTTGCAATAATGAAAACAGTTCGTGGTAGAGGAAATTGATCAAAAGTAAAATCGTGCTCTTCTTGGAGGAGTCCATATCGGAACAATGCGTGATAGTATGGTTTCTGATTGCGGAAGGTGAGCTAGATGGTGGCATCTATCAGCGAACGGGGGCAGTCTATGGTGAGCAGTTCTTAGTTCGAACATTTGGTGCAAAAGTTTTCATGAAGGGTGGCAAACGATATTAGATCTGCATGACAATGTCGGTCCAAACGTCTCCCTTGAAACCCAGACAACCTTAAAAAAATTCCTTTGAAACGGGTTAGAGCACCCGCCGTACAGTCTAGATATGTCTCCCTGAAACCTTTCACACTTTTTTCCACTTAAGAGAACATTACGTATCCATTCGGACGATGAGGTGAAGGAAGTTACGCAGGACTTAATCGAGAATCACACTCGATCTTTCTAACTCGAAGGCATATGCCTATAGTCAAAACTATGGGACCTGTGTTACAACTTCCATGGAGATTTATTTTGATTTCCATTAAAGGTATTCCTTTTATTCAATCCTTATATAACTCTCTCGCCTTCTCAGCAATTCGTGAACAGGTTGAAACATTTCCCACCTTTGTAGTACAATAATTGCAATATTTTCTATTAATCATGTTTACAAATGCAAAATTTATATTGTATCGCCTTTGAACAAAGAAGTTTCGTTTCACAATTTTGAAAATCCTCATTTTCCAATTCAAAAGAATGGCTTGATACATTCTTTTAATAGATGTCGTACCTCTTTTTAAATCCAACTCACGTTTCGATAAATGATTTTAATAGAAATCATCTCCAGTGCAACGTTTAAATTTCCCATAATCAGTTTAAATGCGATCCTTATTCTTTATTCAACTGTATGTAATGCCGAGACCCTTTTTCGAGCGCAACTTAACTAAACATTTTCTAACCTCTTCGAATTGAAATCTCTTCCGGCATTCATAAAATATTCTCGTTATTTGAGGTATCGTTGGTCGGAGGCAAAGAACTCCATCCTAATGCGAAATAGGGAAAGAGTCTCCTTGATTTCATCGCTCCTCAGACCATTAAGATGGGACGGTTGTCATCAAATGATTGCCTGCGAGCGAAATTCGCAATTAGTTTTTCCTTCTGCTCCAACTCGATGATTTCCTGGAAATTCTTAAATTGTTTCTCGGCGCGCGAGATTCGAGTTGATAATAATAATAATAAAAAATGCAAACTCAATTCGGAGTTCTGCGGTTAGGGAGAGCAAATGAATGCTAATAATCGCTGTAAAGAGGGGGAGACGCTGGAAAGAAAAGGGTAAAAGTGTGTTGGAAGATTGAGGAGATGCAAAGGAAGGAATACATATAACCACGCTTTGACTAATTCCTTATTTGTCGACGATCAATATTTGTTTGAACCACGGATCTTTTAGAAATGAGCCGATCGGCAAATACGCGGACTCAAGTATTTGTGCTATTTGAGAGAAGATTTTCAAATATTGACTTAGTAAGCCCCTGCGTACAGCACAAATAATTGACACAACATTCCGGCGGTCTATCTATCTATCCACGCTACGGATTTCAAATTACAAGATGCCGTTATTTATACGATACGTCGTTGAACACTCTCGAGCTAATATTTACTGCCGCTTTAAATGCTCCACCAAATGAGAAATTGCTTCCAGCCATTTCAGGCTCCAGGAGCCTTTCTGATGGAGAGTTATTAAACGTGTGGTTGTGTAAAAACTAGACCCTCAGATTAAAAAAAAAACAATAAAAGTTTCGAGACTTTTTAGTCTTGAAGTTTCTTCTTTTGTTTGCGGCCGCTGCGTCAAAAAGCACGCAGGCTGTTGTTTGGGCTTTCCCGAACTGTAAATAAAAGTCTGTTTGAAGATTTTTAATATCGAAGACCCCTGCCACTTGTTTATATTTTTAGACTTGTCATTGTAATTCATGTTTGTTGAAAGTACATTCTCTCTCTCATCGAAAGAGGTGCAATTCTTTTATGACATCGTCATTCAATTATTTAATTCATTGGATATAGCATAATACATCGGGTACAGTAAGCACCAATTCTCTGTTTTCGAGAAATTTAAAATATTTTATTTTTTCGCTACAAGAAAGATCCTGAAAAAGCTCAAAATAGAATGCAGTTTTTCAATTCCTACTATTAGTTCACACTCTCCCTATATATATATATATATATATATATATATATATATATATATATCTTGTGTTCAAGTTTTCAATCGTTAATAAAATACTTTTTATTCATCCACTCAAGTTCAAATACATTTTTTAAAACTTGTAGTGGATGACACTTGGTGTTAATATAATTTTTTTTCAAATATTAATTAATTGATTAATAATTAATTAGTAACAAACAAAAATAATAGTCCAACATCATATATAAAAAAGAAAATCGTACGTTGTGTCCCAGTAGCGCAATGGGTGTAGCGCGTTGGACATCTAATCCAAAGGTCGTGCCTTCAAATCCCACTTGAGATGGCCTAATTTCTGAGAATGTTATTTCTTTTTACTATACTATTTTATTAGAGTAATTAAATTTAATGTATTAATAAATAGTAACAAACAAAAATATAATAATCCAGCTCCAAATAGAAAAAGGAAAATGGAAAATTTCAAAGAAAATCGCTTTCTATTTTGCCACTTAATATTGTGATTCTGTCATATGTATATACATATTTATATTAACTGTAATTATTGAATAAAAAGTAACTAAAATAAAATTTTTCTCTTGGTTGACCTAAGTAGGAATTGACTTTAAAAGTTTTCTTTTTTATATTACTTGTTTTAAATTAAAATTTCTCCCCGAACCAGTTATAAAAATTGGCCTTTCGTTTCGAATTTGACATTTTGAAGCCAATTATCACTTAATTTCATGTGCTTATTAATATAAATTCAAGGAAAACTAAAAGGTTACAAAAATTGAATCTTATCTTAAAAGTGTTAATAAATGCAGATTAAATTTCTTCTAATTATTGAACTGTAATGATTATAAGACTAGAAATTATATTCTTGATAAAATTAACGCAGAATTACATTTCATTAATATATAGTCAAACTATTTCTCGTGAGATTTATTTTGTAATTTCCTTTCATTGATTAAAATTTCTTTTTTTACTGATTATTCATTTTCATCGAATCCCATTAGATACTGATATATTTTCATTTACTTGATAAATTATACTGATGCGTACTGATTCTTTTGTTTGTGTGTGTATGTGGTTTAATCATTTCTTTGTTTTTCTGTTGTGTTAAATTAAAATAATTGTTAAAATTTCTGTATAAATAAAAAGGAATTTTAAATTATTTTAATGTATTAGTAACAAACAATTGAAGTATAGTTCGGAGCACACAACTGTGAAAAATATGGCTTTAAAATAAATAAGATAAAAATTTTTATTTATATTCCATAAAGTATTACTCTCTCTTATGTGTCTTAGGTAGATAAGTTAAATCCTATAAGATCTTCTCTTTATATTCAAAAGTTATAAAAATATGAATGCATGAAATCTGTGTTTTTCTAGTGTAATACAGTCAGACATCGACTTACCGAACCTCTATTTAACGAATATCATGATTTAACAAATTTTTCAACCCTCTCGATTAAAATGAACTCAACACTCCCAATTTAATGAGTAATAAAGTCCAATAGAAGGAATTATTTCAACAGCCTCAATTTTTTTTTATTAGTTTGGATTAGAAAAAATTGGATTTCTTTTCAAATGGTATCCTTTTTGTCCGGAACAGAAAAATAATTTCCTTGTGAGCAGTAAATTTCGATAGGAAAGGGTGCAGCCCTTGATGAGACTTTACTGCTGTAAATGACTCATGAGTAGAAACTACCGAGTGAAACTTGAATAGGACAGGGAAATCCTTCCTTAAACTTCTATAAAATCTGTTACATTTTTCAATGCTTTACATTGTTTGGAAACTGTGAAAAAATACCTTTCATGCAGCAGGATGTAAATGACGTAGTATTTTCTTTTATGCAAAAAGACGAAAAAGACCTTTTTCGAGTCAGGAATCAAAAAGATCGCCATACGTCTATTATTCAGAAATTTAAGACTTTTAATTAACTGGTGTGTAGCAGTGGCGCACACAAGGGGGGGGGGGCCCGGGCCCCCGTACCCCCGCCCAAAGCCCTTGATTTTTTTTCGATTGTTATAATTTTAAGTATATAATACGTAAAATTTAATTAAATATTTGTTATTAATGATTAATTTTATTAATTAATGCTAATTATTTATTCAATAGTTAGTTTTTTACTGTGTTTTGTTCCTGAAAATCGACAAAATCAAAAATAGCATGATACAAGAATGGTGAACTTT